TATATTTATATAATTCCCTTTACATAGTCTACTTATATCGATTTTGTTTAAGCTTCATTAGCCATAGACAATCTGCTTGGTATTTACAGAGATTAGATACAAAATTATAAACAGTTCTTAGTACAAAATAATTTTATGACTATAACGATTAAGGTTCAATAGCGTAGAGCAGGCCTAGGCAACCATTCACGGCCTAATCAGCAGGTCTTCGTCCTTCTCCCCCTCTCTCCTACTAATCAGTTTCTTTATTTAACACTTTATTTAATGATAACGATCGTCGGCATTGAAGGTTCTCTTCAAAATCGTTTGCCAAGTAGAACATTAACCGGTGCCTGTGTCTTCGGTCAAAATAGAACGAAGAGAACTACGTCGCGTTACTCTGCGTCGAAGTCTAGCTTTTTAAACGGAGCAATTTTTTTTTTTTAATGGTTTCTCGATCAATAATTATTACTTGACGAAGAGAACAACGTGGGAAATGAAAATTAAACGTTGATGATATGCTTTAGTGAAAAAGCCAGAGATTGCCCGTGCCTGAATAGAAGATACAGCTAGGTGAGCTCTCCACAGTCTTTCGTGATTATCTCTACACGTCTCTTAATTCCACGTCAGGTTAACAATCGGTTGTGCCGCGAATCAGAAACAACGACCTCTCCTGCTTTACGAATTTACAACGGAACGCGAAAAATTAGTCGAATTCATTGAAAGTTTGTTTTACATGATGAAAAATAATAGAATACTAAAATATTGAAGATTCTTTTAATACTCTGTAAAGGAAAGCAATCTAATTTGTCATTTGACCTAAATAATTTCACACCCCATTAACAGAAATTTGGATAATTAAACTGTTCAATTGTTTTCAATTTTTAATACTTCCTTAAGTAATTGAAAGCCAGGAAAGCACCCCCTGTGTAGAATTATTATCATGCAAAACGTACTTAAACAAATAACTATCGTGTGAAATGAAAATCAGAATGAAACGGCAATTCTCTTCTCATTGTCAATACCATTCTCGATAGCACCAACACGGGAAGATTCAACGAATCCGGGAGCCTCGAGGTTTAAGCGTGATTGTCGATCGTACACCTGTCGCAAAATATTCATTTGAATTAAAACGGAAACACCGATTTCCAATTCACCCCGTCAACTGGGATCGTAGAAATGAACGTAGAGCTCACGAACCGAAGTGACACCCATGAAACGTTAGGATCGTTAAAGCGATCGATGTAATAATGGAGAATATCCCTACCAACAGAATGCACATCCTTTTGAAATGTTTCCAATTACTCAGAAGAAGCACCAAGCTCGGTGTCATGAAAATAATTTGAATGACTGTTAATGATCGTAAGGGAAGATAACGAAGCATCTGAGGTGGTTCGAAGTGTTTAATTTTTTTAGGAAGATAGATTCTGTCGGAGGGTGAATCGAGATAGAACGTAGCGTAAGACAAATAATCCCTCTCACTACTGGTTGTGAGGTTTCCGAACCGGTGTAGGTACAGGTAGGTACGCAGAGATATACTAAATTATCACATGAGTATACAAGTAAGTTACTCGTTAGCAATAGGGGCAACGATACAGCCAAAGGCAGCAATTATGCTTACATCGATGAATCTAAACGCAACTATCACTCGTTTTCTCTAATTGTCACCCTCCAGTGACGGCAGTATTTTTTTTTCAATTACTTGCTCTATCAAGTGAGAACTAGGGAATTCTCTATCTGAACGGAGTGCTCGATTTCGGTAAAAAATTCTACGCTTATCAACACGGGAAACATTCCTTCTTAATTATTCTTTTTTTTTGTCGATTACTTCGTATAACTGACCTAGGTTTGAATTCATGACGATTTATCATTCACCCTCTCCTCCCATATCCTTTTTTTTTTTATCTCCAATGACAAAAGAAGCGATCTTCGTTACGTTTAAATTCAACGCACGTACAATTTATTATACGAACGGCTATGCCTCTGATATTATCTATTCCTTACGCGGCGTTACATTAAGATATATAAATAGTATTTTTAATGTTGTAACGGTAACATCGCCTACTTACTAGATATTGCGAATGCTATCAATAGTTTATTCATCTGTTGTAAATACACGGAACAAAACGAGTCGAATGATTAATTGGGTTTGAATACCGTGAGAAACGTCGGTGAAACGAATATTCGACTTGGGGAACCGTGCGAACTCGTCGTCCGTCTTCGAGCTTCTCGCTTCATCCCCTCATGAAACGAAGGCTCCGATATGTCGATAACGTACCAAAATTCTGTCCCATCTCCAGAACGTTTATTGGTCTCATTCTCCCTTACCCTCCCGCAATAATTATTATTATTACTAACACGGTTCCAAACACGATATACCCGGATTGCTTAACTCTCGCTGATAATCTCGTCGCCTCGTTCGCGTCAACGCGACGATAAACTCCTCTCGTACCTCTCTCGATGCGCACCGAGCCGTACAATCCTATATGTACAATATACTAGTTCTTTTTCTTTGTCTTTGTATTGATCCCGCCTATCATGTAAAGTTAAAATTATGATGTGTCATAGTCAATGGTGCGAATCACCATTTTTCAACAGAGGAATACATACGCGTATCCATTCCCTTGTCTTCGTCGATCGCGAACCGCGCGACATTGCCGAGCTTTCGCACGTAAAATTACATAGTTACAATCAGATGTTAGCTCCTTCAAAGCCCTAATGACTTTCTTCTTTTCCAACTGCGTGGGTGTCATTCTGATGTGAATGAAACGAGAAATAAATTCGTATGATTTACTTTTTTTTGAACGCGATGAGAGCTGTAGGGTACGAAGTACGCGGAAAATGCAGTAATTGCAGTTTCCGTTCGAAGTGGAAGTCTACAAAGTGCTTAATGATACGATTAAATTTACGTACAACGAATTTTCTTCTTTTTTTTTTTTAACCGCCTACACGATCACAAACACACCCATTCATACCTCGTTCTCATATGTATACTCTATCTTTTCAGGCGAACCATTCCGTATTTTAGTTACCGTATTGCAGCGATGCAATTATTCTCTTCCCTTTCCTCATGCTGCTTCGTTACAGCAATTCGTCCCTGGGGGTGTGGGCGAGGGTAGGGGGAGGGTAACTTCTAATTTCTTAAGTAACGTTTATTTACCTCGAAAAGACGTGGATATATCTTTAAATTCATGCAGGAATGTTCACAGCTGTATTACGATTACACGATATTGCTCCTAAGTTTTCGACGACCATTACGGATCACTCGGTATCCTCTCCCCTTCGGATTGTCGAATTCACAGTTTCACGTTTCTATATTCGTAGGGCTCTTACGTCTAAACTAGCCGGCCTCGATCCCGGCGACCTCGCTAGATACGATTTTACACGAACCACGAGCATCTTACTGTTTCGACTTTGACACGATAGTCATTTACATTTACACTACACGGCTGTTGTCCGTTTTCATGTCTGTTCCCCTTTAACGTGCATACGTACAATTTTGGAACAGTTTCACTCGTTTTAATACGCCTCGCACAGTTCGTTGCCGGAAACCATTGGACCTTGTCGTTGTATTACCATTCTTCGATGTCTCCGTTATACTCGCTCTCATACCCTTTCGTCGTTCTGGCGAACTTGTCGAAGAATTCAGAACTTCGTTCTTACGGTTACCCAGCGCGGATAGTCGTCGGCGTCTTCGACCAGTCCGCGGTTTACGTTCGAGCGTCTGTCGGCCGGGCACGCGTGGCAACCGGCGCATACCACGTGTTCCTCGACCTGGCCGGACGTTCAATATCAGGACGTGGGCGCATAGCCGAGGTTCTTTCGCTGCAGGAACATCGAGATCTCGCGGAAGGTCGGCCGTTCGCTCTCCTCGCGTCGCCAACAATCGAGCATCAGGTCGTAAATATCCTTTGAGCACGCGGTCGGCTGCGGCAAATAGGTGAAAAGGTTGTCGGCGGACTCCTTGCAGCCGTTGCCATCGTCGCCACCGGCCTCGCCGCATTCACCGGCCCGATGCAATCGACGTAGGCTCTGCACCACTTCCTCGTTTGACAAGTGCTCGTACGGGACGCGCCTGCCCAGGTTCAGGATCTCCCACAGGGTCACAGCGAACGCCCACACGTCGCTCTTCGTCGTGTACTTACCCTGCACACAAGTATCGATTATTCACGTCTCCTCTCTCTTACAGTTTTACACAACAAGTATGCTATACTCCTACAATGATTTATTATTATTTTTAAATCTTGTTCTTATAAACGAAATTAACACAATTAGAAACGGGTCAAGCATCATTGTCCTAATTTTGTAAATTATGAAGTTTGTAAATAATTGGCCAAGTCATGAAACAATATGCGACAATTGGAATAAAGCTTACCAGAAATATGGATTCCCAGGCCATCCAGCGTATCGGCAGTGGCACGGTGCCATCAACTTTGTAATAATCGCACGCGTACAGCTCGTTGTCCGTACCGAAATCCGAGATTTTAATGTGATAAGCTTTGCCCACCAAGCAATTCCTGTAATCGAAAATCAAATCGTTATCGATGAACGGGTATGAATTGACCGTTCCGCCCTACAAACGTTTGAACGCAAACCATTTAATTAACTCTCGGGATAACCGTCGCTTGACCGCTTTTATCGTTTATTATTAACGGTGATCTAATTCATCAGATCTCATTCATCGTTCCCGTTATTTCGTCTGTCAAATTCCATTGCACGGAATGGAAAACAAAAACAATCAGACGCGTTGTTCTTCAAACTTAACGCTTTTTTGTTCAGTTAAACTTCCCAATTTCTACTCAGTCAAGCATGATTGCGCTATCAATCGATGTTTATTATGTTGAAATTAGGAACTGGGACATTTACGTTAGTACGATCCGATGGAACGGATACGTGGAGCGAATCAGTTTCGACTTGGAAGGCGTGGAGAATTTCGAATACTTTTCCGGGTGATCCGTTTCAAATGAAAAAGGCACGGGTTCAAATCGATCTCTCGCCGGTATGTACGGTGCATAGCGCGGCCGCCGATCTGCATACGCGTACGCATTCTGTGCATGGCAGCCGACCGGAAGCAGGAATGGCTGCCCGCGGGCCGCATTTGCACATACGTGTAGATGAGCTACGTTTCCTGTACAAGCACACGCAACTCAACAATTGGACGTGCAGCGTTGCGGCAAAGTTTACCAGCCGATGCACCGCCGCGACACAGACCCGGATCGCTGAATGATCACGTGGATCGTTTATGAGGCTGGATAAGGTTCGCGGTCGCGAGAGAATGTGGATATAAACCTTAAACGCAATCCGCGCACTAATAGATTTACATACTCCTCCTGGTTTTCACGTTAATTCCAGAATACTGAACTTCCTGCGAAATTCGAACTCTATAAGCTATCCCCGAAATGTCGGATTGTTCAAAATAATTAGATACGTTCTATGATCGAGATCGTTCTTGATAGAATGAAATCATTATTTGGAATCGCGAAGTTAGCGATACGAAGTTAAATTCGGAGCCTGTTCTACCCTGGCGTGAAATCTCTTCAATAAGGACACAGGTACACCACGAAACGTTCTGTCTAACGGCATACCATTTGGAGGTATCAAGCTGCGCGTATCTACGTTGTACATAACTACCTTATGCTCCTCCAAAGACGAACTATAATTCTCGCCGGGACAAACGAGCAGCTGAACGGTATTCGAGTATCCAGCGTTATCGAGTGAATGGAGTCAATTAATTTCGACGGTGGAACAAAGCTTCAATTTGGAGCCAGAACCCGGGTAATTAGCCGCGCTTTATCGATCACTGTTATTGGCCATACTACCGCTCTTGGAGTTCACCGACGAGCGAAACCGCGACGGTGTGGCGCGACGGCGATGGTGACCCGATCCGACGGAAGTCTCGGGTCAGAACGTTAATGCAATAAGCAACGTTCACTCGCCGGGGTCCTATTGAGCCTCTGTGTGAATTATATTAAGTGGAAGCGTCTATCTGCGGACGCCACTATGTTTGACTCGATTGTAATTGGATTTCGTGACAACCCGGCGATCGGTAACGACAGATGAACCGACCTCAAACCACCAGTTTTCTCATTTCAATGCAAATTAATCTACTCTAATGTCGTCATTATCATAATTATGCTTTATGCTATCGCTGGTGAAAATCTATACAACATATGATTAAAATGGCAATAAATAGAGGCATTCGGAACTTTTATGTCATTTTAAAGCCAAATCTGACGCGCTCTTCACCTCTTTATATTTATACGTTATTATATAACATGAAAAATGTTGAAGTTGCCACAAATAGAAGATTTACCTTAAGTCGAATCCTCCCTGAATGCAGGAGGTGTCCACTTTTGCAACCCGGGAGAAAAGTCACTCGTACGACTAATATCGATTGTCATCGCGTTTAAGTGCCTTCGATACTGTCTCTTAAGTAGTCGAAGAGTTTCGAAGGTACATACGATTCGATACGCGATCGGCAGGACTTCGACCTCGCGATACCCCGTCGAAAGACGAGGCGACGTCGTCGTCGCGGGGTTGAACGATCCGGAGAGAGGAAAGGAAGAGTGGAAAAGTAGAAAAGGCGACAGGAGGAAGTGGGAGTCGGAGAAAGCCATTCTCTACATTTGTAATCGAAGTCGGAACAAAGGCCGGCCTCGCTCAGGGGTTTGGAGTGCCCACATCGGGTCTTCGCCGTTCTCTACGGTCGAGCTACACGTTCTTGCGGCCTGTACGCGACCGCTATCATCGTTCCTGGTAACACCATCACCACCATCGCTATTGGTATCGTTTCTGCCGCGCCGAACAATTTCCCGTGTACGTGTGCCGCTTTTTCTTCAAGTGTTCCACTCATACTCGCTTACCCATATATTCGATCACACGCACGTTCCTTCCCCCGGCCATTATAGACGTACATACCTGGTTAGGTACACTTATGTACGTACACGTATACAGGTAAACGAAGGAACCCTTCGCCTCTTGTTCTTTCTTCGATCGGGCCAATTGAATTGCATTACCGTTTGATCAGCAATCGATTCTTTCCTCTTTTCCGCTCGGTCCGGTCTCGAGAATGACTTTATACGGCGCGAATAAAATAACGTGCCAGGAGAAATTGGCTGGCAAGTGTTAGAATAGGCGGGCAGGGGCTGCGGAACTTCTCTGACGCAGTCGATACATATGTACAATACATACGCGTGCTCTCGCCCCTCGCGATTGATTCGTTCCCTTCTGAGACCCTCAGATTTTCATCACGCTCGCTTAGCTTTCAATTCATTCGTAGGTAGAGATTTATAAAAAGCATCTCGGCAGACCGAATACGAATGCAGATTAATAAATATTATAAAGTATAGTAAGGAGCGTGACTGAATCAATGTTGAAGGACTTCATGCAAATCATTATTTAGTGACGTAAATAATAAGTCATGTAAAAATTGATTTCAATACTTGCTATGAGTTTAACTGTCTTCTCGCTCCTAAAATTCATTTCCTTCCATGTATAAGAATGGAAAAAATTAATTCAATTTTGTATATATGCATATGAAACTCTACGTCTTAATATTTAATTTGCTGTAAACGCGAGTAATTTTCAGTTAAGGCGAAAAATACGTAATTATAAGGAAAATAAGTCTTGAAATAATTATTTGTTTTTTTGTAATATTA